TTGTGGGTGGACGAACTACCCAGTATCCTTTGGGCCTACCAAACTACCATTAAGACCACCACAGGTGAAACCCCTTTCAACCTCACGTATGGCACAGAAGCGGTGATCCCGACAGAAATCGAGGTGCCTACACTACGGTTAGAGGTTTACAATAAGGAGATGAACGATGACGAGCTCCGTACCAACCTAGACCTGATAGAACAGGTACGAGACCTGACTTACATTCGAACCGCAGCTTACCAACAAAGAGTAGCTCGGTACTATAACGCCTGGGTCAAAAAATGGCACTTTCGCGTCGGCGACTTGGTTCTTCGGAAGGTTATGGTATCCGAGCCCGGCATTGGCAAGCTCAAACCGAATTGGGAAGAACCGTACCGAGTAAAATGGGTATTTGGGGAAGGCACGTATGAGCTTGAAACTTTAGATGGGAAGCAGGTACCGCGAGCATGGAATGTAGATAACCTAAGAAGGTACTACTCATGAACTTGCAACTCGAAGGCGAAATTTCCTCAAGTGCATGTGACCACCGAACTGATCGAAAAAGATGACAGACTGGAGAGAGGACTACGAGTCACTCCCAGAAGCTTACAGGCTACGACGCCGAGCTGACAGAAGACCTCAGCACGGCGACAAGTCCTAGTCGCCTCCTCAGCATGGGCAAATAAGTCCTAATCACCCCCTCGGCATAGGCAGATCAGTCCTTGTCGCCTCCTCGGCATAGGCAGATAAGTCCTAGTCGCCTCCTCGACATAGGCAGGCAAGTCCTAGTCGCCCCCTCGGCATAGGCAAACAAGTCCTACTCGTCTCCTCGGTATAGATAGACAAGTCCTAGTCGCCTCCTTGGCATAGGCAGACAAGTTTGAGTCGCTTCTTCGGCATAAGTGGATGAGTCTTAGTCGTCTATGAGGTATAGACAACTTGGGTGCAAACCCTACGGTGCCTAATTCACCTCGGCGTACAGCAACAATAAGGTTGATCTTACATGGAGCCGAGCTCGTTAGCTCGGCATTTAGGGATAACCAACACTTAGGCAAATAAGAGACCTAGGCATAGACAGGTCGGGTATGTACCCTATAGTGTTCAATCATCCTGGCATGCAACGACAATTAGATCATTCCTTGTAGTGTCGAGCTCACCAGTTCGGCAGCAACCTATACTTAGGAAAAGTTCACTCCTATTTGGTTTAACTTTCCAGTTCGAGAGTAATCTACACTAAGAAAAATTTTTGCACATGAAGATTGCCAAAACACTTATATTTAATTAATGAAGAACTTTGAGTACAAAAAACAACTACTATAACCGAGCTCGGAGGCCTGGGATGTACATTGCACATAAAGAGGTCCAAGAAAAGAGGCAACGTTATACATCCGAACTGCCAGGTAGGTCGGTTTCCTTTCGATCCTCCTCCGCATCCTCTCGGTCTGCCTCTCCTGACGGCCCCGCCTCAAGGACTTCATCATCGCTTTCCTCTATGGAGGAGTCGGGTTCTTCATTAGCCGCCTTCGCCATTTTAGGAGTTACATCCGACATGGAAACAACTCCGAAGTCGAGCTCGGGAAACTTCTGCTGCATCACCCACTTGCAAAGTTTGAAACCGAACCGATATGAGCTTGATCCGTACTTAACCTGGAGATTGTGAAACTCTAGAGACTCCTTGAAATCTTTGATGGTGTACTCTCTCTCCTGAGCCCGCACCTCCTGGATGGTGGTCTCAAATATCTCGGTGCGCTCCTTGATCATCGCCTTGAGGTTCCGTCAGTACGATGATCAGCTCCTGCTGGCTCCGAGCACCCTTCTTAGCTCGAAAGACATCACCCCGAGCTAAGTCCAGCTCGTGGTAAAGCTTCTGAGCGTTCTCTCCTCGGCTTCCCTGGCTCGCTTCAAGCAGATCTCAGACTGATAGACAAGTGAATGAATGGCAGAGTTCACCTGGCGAAAAGAAAGTAGATGTAAGTACCATTAACAGAAGAATAAGGAAATAAGACAAAAGGGTGAGCTACTCACCACCATGCACTAACTGGCCGCCTTGCCCCCGAGCTGACTTGTGGGCATGTCATCCCACTCTGCGACTTCGGCAGGAAAAGCAGCGTCTTTACTCTTGAGGAGCCCAAGCCGTGAGTCATTATTCTCTCCTTCGAGAGTTGAGGCTTAGGCACTGAGGCACCCTCGGGTTCACGAGGCAGGGCTCCCTCATCCTGGTCTTCGTCCAGGTCCACGACTGGAGGTTGGGGATAGACCTCCTCCTCCGAGAGCTCGGCCGCGATCAGCTCTGGTGCAACGACCTCGGGTGGGGCGGGAACTGAAGGACCGGCCTCCCGACGAGACTTCTTCGAGGCCTTCCTCTTCTTCCCCCTTTGGATGCTCTTCAAAAGGGTTTTTGCATCGACACCTATCATAGCTGCTGCAAGAGAAAAAAGGAAGAAGTTAGTCACGAACCGAAGTGAGTACAAAATAAGAAAAAGTAATATGAGCACCGAGGTGGAGGCCTACCAGGAGGACTCAACCCAGCTCGTACAAGCTTCTCCTTGGCCAAGAAGTCTTTCATTTCTAGGCCGAGGTCCCTCCAAGAATTAACGACCACCCTGGTCTCAGCATCTAAACTCACCCCGGGGTCCTTGATGGCCACTCGCCAGTGAGTCGAGAATGGCCACCCCTCAGGGTTTCGAACAAAAAAGTACCTCCTCTTCCAAGCCAATACTTTGCTCGGGCTACCGAACAGGATTTTGAACCTAGGGCGGGGGGAAATGTAATAACTTTGTCGAGTATCCCCACGTAGGCAAGCAGAGTTCTTCTTGATCGAGCAGATCGAACTAAAGGTGTCTAAGGAAGGAGGTCGGTTATACTCGTGGAACAAAAAGATTGTGCCAACTATGGTTCGGATGGAGTTCGGGTGTAACTGGTCGATGGTAATGTCAAAAAACTTGATAATCTCTATGATGAAAGGGTGGAGCGGGAAGTGCAACCCAGCTACAAGCTGCTCTCCAAAAACCGCAAGCTCATGGTGACCATGAACCCAAGGGTATTGACCCAAAGGAATATTAAAAGCAAGGGTGTCGAGAAGATGGTAACGGGCTACCAAGGACAATAATCTATCCAAGGTCATCGTGGAAGGGCCAAAGCCATCTGGATCTCGACCCTGGGAAGAAGATGGGACCCCCTCTCTGGAGGTCTGTCCCTCTACTCGAGCTTTAGGTTCCTCTAGCCGAGATGGCCCGACATCGGGTAAAGGTGTTTCTCCTAAGATGTGAAGGGAGGAACTCTCCGGCGAAGAGCTGACCTCGCTGGTGGGAGCCAAGGACTGCACCTCAGCACCCTCGGGCTCACTAGAATCACTAAGTAGCCTATCTATACTAGCTAGACATACTGGAACAGGAAAAGGAAAGGAGACGAACTCATCAAAAGGACGAAAACAACCTCATACACAAAGGAAAGAGTGGCGAGCTGAAAGACTCCAACGCGACCTCAGGAGAGCTCAATCACAAGATTTTTGGCGAAGAAAAGGGGTCCTTCAGCTATTTATAGTTCACTGCATGGCGATCAACGGCTAAGTTTTGTGCGATCCAACAGCTCCCATGAAAACCAGCTACATGATACCCGAGGACGAAATCGGTTGAGCGCGTTCTTTGACGTCTGTGGAATCTATAAACAACGTGACGTTCGCGTGTGCCCGGTATGCAACCTAGGTCATTTTGTGGTTGAGCCAGACAGTTGAACAGGCCTGGCCAATAGTTCGCTCTCCAAATTGACTAGACCTCGCGCCAAATCCACCTAGATCCTCCACAAACTCCTCGCACTGGGTTGGGACCCCTGGCACGAGGAGTGAGGGGCAATTGATGAAGGGTGATTTGGCACGACCTAACAGGAAGGGGACACGTAGGTGCGATTTGATTGAAGGATGACAACTCAGCCAGGCAAGTTCGCAATTCGGGTATCCAGGCACCTCGGCCCAAAACCCACCTTGGTGTAGAGGCACCTCGACATCCAACCCAGCCTAGGACTGAAGAATCAAAGTTCTAGCTCGGAGCTAACGAGCTGAAGTGTCGTATAACCAACTCTGAAGGCCTCCCCAACAAATCCCGAATCTCTTCGGGTCACGATGAGCCAATAGATCCTGAATCTCCTGAGATCACGATAAGAACTCATCCCGGTTTTGCTTGAATCGAGGGTAAATGATAAGCCTCATCCACATACTACTCTCCTTCGAAAACGGAACCAACCTTATCTCTATAGCCCGGAGAACCTGAGGCTCTTTCGTAAAGCCCAGGCTACTCTAGTATATAAAGACTTGAAATCTCAAGGCAAGGGTACGTGTGATTATTCTACTCTCTAGCACTCAAGCTTTCAAGCATTCAACTCGCATTCATAGTATAATTACTGACTTAAGCATCGGAGCGACATCGTCAAGTTAACTACCCTAGGTTCTCTGATACATTGTTTTGCAAATCGATCTAGCTCGTCGTCCATCTGAAATTCGAATCACCCTCCACCTTGGAATAGCCCGACCACGCACCATAAAAAACAGAGCAAACGAAAGAGCTTCGTCCTCCCCTCTTAGTCATCCCCTCCGTCTTCTTCTTTTCTTCTTCTTCGAAAGAGCAAGTGAGATGCCCCAGCACCACCACTACTCAATAATCAGTACTCGAAGTTGATAATCAGAGTTTAGTCATATTCTAGACGACGGAAATAACAAGCCAATAAGGTTAAGTTATACTAAGAACTCGCATTTTTTTTGAAAAACTAAGAACTCGCAATTAAATGCTCTAAGAAAAATAATAATAAATAAAAAGCAAAGATAAAACACAAAACAACCAAATCAAATTTCACGAAAGTCAGGGCTCAGGAGGGTGGGGTTGAGGGGTAAAGATAAAAGCAGTGAACTGACCGGACTCTCTTCGAATTTGAATGTAGGACTCTGGAGATGGTAAAACAATTCCTTGGAAAACGAAATGAAGCTAACCCAACGAAGCTAATCGAAAGAATCCATCGAAAGAAAGTGATGGTTAATCGGTGCAAATGTGAACACCAATGGCGATGAGGAAGATGGTGATGAGACCGAAATAGATGATGGCATGCACCCGAATGGATACACCACTTGTTTGCATGTTCCTGAACTCTACTATTTTATTCCTTCTCGGCAGCTGAAACAACAACCCCGGCGTCAACAGTACGAACAACACCACTGGACCCCAACCCGCCATTCTCTCTCTCTCTCTAATATCTCTCTTCTTCGTACAAGCAATAGAGAACTACAGCTAACGATCAAAAATAAAGACAACGAAATGGATGGACAAAGCAGACAAGAAGAACAGATTACAAAAAAGGGAGGGGAGAAAATCTCCTATCCGGTCGGGATCGGATAACACGGGGAACAAAAATCCTCTTCTTTTGATCGAAAATGAAGTTCTTTTATGGCTATCGAAAGGAGGAAAAGGAGGAAAGAGAAATAGACCCGAGGTGGGGAGATTTATTCGATGGTCCTTCGACAGAGAACCAGAGCGGTGGCAGTTCTCAGCTAGCTAACCTTCTCCAGCTCCGGCGTATATTTTTCCCTCTCCGAACTGTTCATCTTCTTCCCGAAGCGGCGAATCCAGCGGCGGCCAATTTCCTCTCCCTTCACCGGATTCCTCTTCCTCTCTCTTCTTCTCTCTATCTCTCTTCTTCTTCTTCTTCTTCTTCTTCTTCTTCTTCTTCTTCTTCTTCTTCTTCTAATCCTAAAGAGCCGAATTCGGAAAGACTACTGTTCATCGTCTTCAACCTCTAGACAAAGAACGGTGGCGGCAACCCAATTTCCTCCAACTCTTCCTCTCATTCTGGCCTCTCTCATCTTCTCGTTCTCAGTTATCTCAGTGTCTTCCCCATTCGTTCCCTAATCCATCTCCCCTGATCCCTCAGTTCTTGTGGCTTAGGATTGCCAACAAGCATCTATCGCTGGAGCTCTGTTTTCTGGCCGACCGATTAGAACGGATAGAGCCTTCGGTGTTGGAGCACACGACCTGAAGGGAATAAAACCTCCTTGTTGCGGCATCCCATATCCTGCTAGAACCTCACAAAGCCACTCTCGTGCCGCTCCATTGATCGCTTTCATAGTTCGGGGAACGAAATCAGGAACACAAATATCCTGGTCCTTTCCTCCTCTGTTGCAGCATTTCTTCGCAGGCCAAATCTTAACGGGGTAAGATCCATTTAGTTAAGCTTTTTGGTTGTCTTCTTTTCTCATTTCATTGCTGATATTGCTGATAATCATGCTACTCATTTCATTATATTGTTTATCGATCATCTGAAGCTAAATTCCTAGTTGGTGTTTAGAACTATTATTTCATCCTTGTGGAGCAAATGTGCTGGGATTGATTTAGCTCCATGATTTTGGACATATTGGTTATTTTGTCGCTTGAGATGAGGAAGACCACCCGGTCTGTGGAAAGTCTAGTTCTCATAGCTAGTAACAAAAAAATTAAATAAAAATAATAAAGATAAAAAATAAAAAAAGAAGAAGAGAGAGAAAGTAGGTCATGATAACCTGACATAGATGGTATAGCCAAATCGATCTTCCCCTTTGCAGAATTAGCGTGAGAATAGAGTTGGCTGGAGAAAATAAATCAACTTAACCATAAAAAAAAAAAAAAATTAATAAAACAAAAATAATAACAAATAAAAACTAAGTTTTGTGGAACGGGGAAATTGGCTCAGTAGGCTTGACCGTACCTAGGTGATGGAAGGAACAATCTACTAAGAAAACAATAAAAACTGAAGTAAAAGAAATAATACAAAAAAGAAGAAAAATATATAATAGATTAAAAAAAGAAAAAAAAAGTGATATGAAATAAAAAAATAATAATTCCATAAAATCAAAAAGGGTTCCAAAAGAAAATAACATAAACAATTGGTAAAATTCAACAAAAAAAGAGAAGAAAGAAGATGGAGAAAATAAAAATAAATAAATAAACAAACAAAAAATAAAAATAAATAATAAAAATAATAAATATAATTGGGAGTGGAATTTCTTTTGTTGGTTGGTTCTCAGCTTGTTGCTTTCTCTTTGATTCATTGTATATGTATAATTATGCTTGTTTGGAACTCCATGTGGGCCTCACTTATTGGACCCAGGAGAGGGGTGCCTAACCCCTTCCTTCTCCCTTTCCGAGTCTTACCCAGATTGGTGTAGCTAGGGCTTTGGAGTCACTATTAAACTAAAATGCTTTTCGATGTACACCTTGGAGGTCCCATCGCCTTCATTTCCTAATCTAATGGGTGGCAACTCCAAATCCAGCCCGAGTGAGCCGTTTTCCGATGCTCACAATAAGGCTCTATGATACTGATTGATACTAATTAGAAAGAATAATGTAGCCCTGGGAACTAACTTGAATGAGCAATTTACATCGAAGCCACCAAAGTCTTTGCTTCTTAATTAAAAACCTAAGACTCCATGGCACTTCTGATCCTGACTTCATCCAATTTATGACCACTTCGCAATCTCCTTCAACTTGTAGCTCAATCCAGCTATTTGCTAAAGCAAGCTTTAATCCCTACATGAGATTTAGGCTCAGTTTGGAAGGAGTACGAATACAAACATGTAGAATGCAAAATCTTCTAATTTGTATTATTTTGTATGTATTTGTATTTGTACTCCTTCCAAACTGAGCAGTAGGATCAGTTTGGAGAGAGTACAAATGCAAATATGTACAACGCAAATACATATAAAACATACAAAATTTTAGGTTTTGCACTTTACATATTTGCATTGTACTCCTTAGCCTTAACAATTCAACCAAAGGTGATGTACCAGAACTTGCTGAACCTGACAAGCTTAATAAAATGTTTCCTGTATCATCTCCAATAGCACCACCAGTCCTAGACAATCATGGATTACCCAAATAACAGCCATCAAAGTTTAGTTTCTTTTCTCCTAGTTGTGGTGCAGCCTGTAGTGTCATGGACCTCATGGTGTCCATCTAATCAATCATGCATTGTTCCATTCTCATAGAAGTAGAATTTAACAAAATTAAATATTGACTTCCATTTTATTTTTTTTCTCCTTAGTTTGTACTTGGACTGTAAGAGGAAAATGAGTAGCATCTGGGATTCACGGAAGAAGCCAAAGAAATGCAAGAAGATGTAAACCAATATCATATATACCTCAAACTCTTACCTAAATAACCCTAATAGCGATTTGTTGGCCTCAATAATGAATTGTGAGCAAAGAACCACTAGATCTCAAAACAAGCCCAGAATGCAAAAAGTAGCCAAGATAATGCCAGATGTCAAAGACAGCAATAGAATCTATGATCCCATGGTTGTTTCTATTGGTCCTTATCATCATGGAAAACCTGAGTCGGAGCAAGTGGAGAAGCTTAAGAAAAGAGTATAGCACCAAAGTTAGTTTCTTGCAGCAACAAGAAAATTGAATTCTTGTACAGTGAAGTTGCAAAGGTAGCACCAAGAGAGGGTTCAGTTGAAAAGCTTGAGGATGAAACATTCATGAGTATAATGTTCTTGGATGGTTGTTTTGTTGTCTACCTCATTTACTGTTTTGTGAATGACAATCTCAAGGAATTATAAATAAATAATAATGCAATAGTTTCTATAGGAAGGGACTTGTTCTTAATGGAGAACCAACTACCATTTTTAGTCCTTAAAGCTCTCATGAGTGCAATATTCCCTCAAACTGAGTGGAAGAGAATGGTGGAGGAATTCATCAAGAAAGTTAATGGTATAGTCTCTCAGGTTGATGAATTCAACATAGGTTGCTGCCCTGAGTCTCAGAATGAAGAAATGCCCAAAGCCTTTATCTCTTCGATTTTATTGGAAAATAATAAAGAAGGCAAAATGAAACTTATCGATAATCACTTTCCAAACTGAGAACTTGTAGAATTTAGTGTTGTAGAACTGTAAACCTAAGAAATTGCAGAGAGAAGGAGGCTGAGTTGTGCCACTTGGTCACTCTCCTTAAAACCGCATTTGCACCCTATGGTGTAGTTGAGAAAATCGACACTTGGTAGAGAGAATAAACTATATTGTGTGCATTGATGTGTCTTTCTGGGTCGATCCACACTCCTTTTATAGAGTGTTCTCAGCCACTTGAATGAACACAAAAGTGTCATTTCAGAGAGATGTCTCTTCAAAAGTGTACATACTCATACCCGTACCCATACCCATGCCCCGTCCCGTCCCGCCTCGATACACACGTGTGAAAAGCACCCCCAACCCCCCTCACATGCATATAAACATCTATAGTGCTTTCCTCCTATGGGTCCCAAGCTCCCAAAACTTCTTTCTTTTCTTCAAGAGCCTTGCAAAAGGAAATTTAGTTTGCTAAAGTGGGCTTACAGAAGGAGCTTTGGCTTTCTCCATTGGACCCTAAAGAGGATATATTTCAAGGTCAATATTCTTGTGGCACTCCTATGGTTGCTCTTCATATCTCTATTTCAGTTTCAACGACAACGAAGGTGAAATAAACTTTGGTATTCTTTCCCTTCAAGAAAGGAGCTTAAAGCAGAGGGAAACAATTTCAAAATGAGAGAATCCTTTAGTTTCAGGAGTGTCCATTTCCAACCTGGCCTCATCTATGGAAATATCTTGCTTACCCCATTAGTCATTGATAGCTCAACTTAGACTAGGATTCTGAACTTGATAGTCTATGAGTGATGTTGTTGTGATCTTCATGGTTTCACCTATACATCTGTTTCCTGGATTCTCTCATTAATCATCATGATGATGTAAAGGAACTAAGAGCAAAGGACATACTCTTCAATAATCTTCGAAGTGATGAAGAAGCAGTCAATCTCATTAACTAGATGGGGAGGGGCTTGGCTGAACTTTAAATTATTATTAATTTTAATATTATGTTATTTTTTTTTGTAATTTACTTCATAATTTTGTTATTTTAACTATTCAAGATATAGTTATGTTAAATATTTTGTTATTTAAAATATTTAGTTATTTAAATATTTAAATAGTAAATAAGGTATTGAAAAATATCATCATTTGAATTTAAGATATTTAGTTATTGAAATATTTAAATAATATTTTACTTTTTTAATGTTAAATTTCTATTATTTGAATAACATTTAATTTGAATAATCTGAAAAATTATAATTTATATTGTTAGTACATAATTTCATGATGAATTTTGTAAAAATATAAAACTATTAATAATATGAATATTATTAAATCTATTATAATTATTTTTTGTGTTTTTAATAATTATTTTAAAGTTTATACTATTAGTACATAATTTCATTATTAATTTTGTAAAAATATTAAATTATTATTAATTTGAATATTATGTTATGATTTTTTTATATTAAGATTTTATTTTATTTTATTGCATAATTTCTTTATTTTAACTATTTAAAATATAGTTATGTTAAATATTTAGTACTCATTATTTGAATTTAAGATATTTAGTTATTGAAATATTTAAATAATTAAATATTTTTCTATGTAATTGGTTAGCTATTTTTAGTATTTTATTATTTAAGATATTTAGTTATTGAAATATTGAAATAATATTTTACTTTTTAATGTTAAATTTCTATTATTTGAATAACATTTAATTTGAATAATTTGGAAAATCATAATTTATATTGTTATTAGATAATTTCGTAATGAATTTTGTAGAAATATAAAAGTGTTAGTAATATGAATATTATTAAATATATTATAATTATTTTTTGTGTTTTTAATAATTATTTTAAAGTTTATATACTATTATTACATAATTTCATTATTAATTTTGTAAAAATATTAAATTATTATTAATTTGAATATTATGTTATAATTTTTTTTATTGCTTAATTTTGTTGTTTTAACTATTTAAAATATATTTATGTTAAATATTTCGTTATTTAAAATACTTAGTTATTGAAATATTTAAATAATATATAAAATATTTAAATATACTCATTATTTGAATTTAAGATATTTAGTTATTAAAATATTTAAATAATTAAATATTTTTCTATGTAATTTTTTAGCTATTTTTAGTATTTTATTATTTAAGAGCATCTCATTGGTTCTTCAAAAAAATGACATTGTATAAAAAAACAAAAAATTCAATATCATGTGGGCCATGGAATAAAAAAAAAAAGAAACAATTTCTTGAACAAAGTATATCAATATCATGTGGGCCATGGGCTGTAATGACTAATGGCTCAATTCTTCGTGCCATGACATACCAGCACGTGGACCTCAAAACACCAGTTGGGCATGCCATAAGGACATGGTCCAATCCAATCTAGTCGAATGTGAGTCTATTATAAATGGACCAGGTTCAATTCAATCCAATGAATATTTTGGACCGGTCCAATTCAATGTTTAGACCGTATGATCTGTTTTCGTTTTGATTTAAATTGGTTTAATCCAACACAATCGAAAATAAATTTATTATGAATGGACAAGTCTAATCCAATCTAATAAATATTTTAGATTAACCGATTGATCCAATCCAATATATCATATTACGTCAAAATTGATTTTGAAGTAGACGGGGTCCAATCCAAACCCGTCCGTTGACACCCTTTCATCAGGCTACGCTACTGGGCGTAGCCGCGTTAAGGGATTTCACCTCGTAGATTACAAAGGTTATCAAATCTTATCACGTGCGCTCCATTGGTCAGAACTCAGAACTCAGAGTCAGAAGCAAACAGACACGTGAGCCCCGACAAAAGAACGAAACAAGTAAAACAAAAGGGGCAGGTATGCCTTAAACATTAAAATCTTGAAATTATGTATTTTTAATTTCTACTACAATAATTCTTGGATTTAAGGAGAGGAAAAAAGATGCAGGTCATGTTGCTTGGATCTAATTGAACTGAACAGCTTTTTTTTTTTTTTTTTTTGAAGGTCTAATTGAACAGCTTTGCATCTTTGGATTTTGCGCTTGAGCAATTAGAAGAATAACTTACCAAAAATTCTCTATAGTAACAGAGGACAGAAGTCTTTAAGACCACTTTTGTCCAAAAAATCTAACCATTCCTTGTTCATAAGAAGAAAAAAAGAAACTAACTAAATTCCAGGCAATATACACTGGTTTTCATACAAGAGAACTTGCCATATACAAAAGCTGTCTGCATCAACCAACATCACTGACCTAGCCAATTAGCCATCCTACTGAAGAAAGAAAAGAATAAGAAATATTGAGAAACGGGTTATAAATTCACCGGTTGGATTAGAAGATACAACAACTGATTGGAAGAAACTAGATTGGTCATTTAGTGCAGTCCCAAGATACCCTGAATTGCGGGGAGAAGAAAAGAAAACCTCAGGCTCAGGAGGGTGATGGCCAATCCTTTCGGATTTCAAAGTTGTAAGTGATGTCCAAATGGCACTTTCCATCATCGTCCATAAACTGAAATATAGAGGAGAAAAATGGGTTTTAAGAAAGCAGCTTATGTATGGAGAATAGTTTATTTGGTTGACAATATTTACCTTGGTTCTTGCAGAATATGTACCCCTAGCAAACATACCAGATGGGGTGGTCTCTTCTTCCAATTCCAAAGTATAAGGCTCATTCTGAGGGCTGTAAGTTCCCAACATTATTCTTGTATTCACCACTGTCATGAATTCATCAATAACAATTTAGAGAAAAGGAAACTCAGAAGAACAAAGAGCTGGAAAATCCATGAAGCAAAAAGAACCAAGAGTGAGAAAAGCAAAGAGGAGAACTAAGAGTGAGAAAATCCATGAAGCAATGAGAGCTTCTACCTCTCAGTCCACTCTTCCACACTGTGTTTCTATATCTGAGCCCAGAGACAATGTTGTTGGAAACGGTGAAGGAGAACTTGAGACTGTAGCGGCTTCCGTCCTTGAGGACAAAAGCATGGCCCTTGGCATTGGGAGTAAATGGAATTGGCAAGACCACTTCCGGCCGGTCCGGCGACCGGATCGTTAGGCTCTGAATCTTTACTTCTGGCTCTGTATTCTCTATTTCTTTTTCAAGAGAAGGATTAATTTCACATGAGTAGAAATAAATTCTAATCTATTATTAATGGAACTTATGAATAAAGGCTAATCAGTGGCACATGATTCTGAATTGGGTTTCTTAGCAAAAAGAAAGAAAAATCAGAAACAAAAAAACAGCACAATTCCTAAATCAATTATTGTTCTATGATCAGATAAAAAGGCACAAAAAGAGGAGCACTAAGTAGCAAAAGTAAAGAGTTGTGTACCTCCAACAGCAGAGAGATCCACACTTCCAAGAAGCTGTTCTTTCCATCTCCTCAGACTCTCATCATCCTAAAATATAAATTATTCAGATTATCACAACCCAATTTGTAAAATCAATGAAATCATATATAGATGCAAGAGAAGGAAAGCAAAACCAGAAAGAAAAAGGAGCACTATGAAGACCTTGTCTTTCTCTAGCTGTTCCTTAAGGGAGAACTGAGGGCCGAGACATAATTCTTTATCGGGTTTCAGTTTACAATCATCGTCGTCGTCATCTCCATCGTCATCAAAATCATCTTCATTCTCCGTAGAATACACAGAAGAACAGCTGAATTTCCTGTTATGTTTCTCAGCTTCAGTATTCTCAGGTGGCTCTTCCTGTTGTTCATCATTATTGCTGGTGGTGCTCTTCTCCTCTTCTTTCTCCATTTGAGAAGGATTGAAGGGAATTCCCTGAGGGCTAGAGAGAACCCCCACAACCGCCGACATTTTCCTAAAAACAAAAGCAAAAGAGCAAAAGACGGTAAAGATGAGAGAGAGAGAGAGAGAGAGAAGAACAAGTCTTTGTTCAAAGTCTTGTGTCCTCAAATTCCGCCTATGTTAGAGGCTGTTTCCTGAATCTGGCGAGTTTTTCTCACTTTCTCTTTCCCTCACAGAGGGGTGATGGATTTTCGTTGCTTTTGAAGGGTGGGAGTTGGGGAGTGTTGCAGTTGGAGGGAATACCTTACCTGAAGGAAAGACCAGTTAGAAGATGACCAAGTTTGGAGTAGGGAAGTGTGGCCAGACTTGGCTGTGTTTGGTTTGAAAAAAATATAAGAGAAACAAAAGTTGAGGGAAATCTTTTAAGAAATTTAATCAAGGAGACGTTTGATAATGGCTGAACTGAATGACATTTATTTATTTTGTTGTTTTTTTTTGAAAGAATGACTTATTGTTTTGTTGTATCCCCTTACCATCACCTCTCCTAAACTTTTTGACACAATTTCAAGTAGACCCCTCTATTAGAATCCTCTAACAAGTATTTATGTATATTATATTTTTATATTATAGAATATAAAATATGTATGTACGTATGTATGTATGTGTTAATCAAGCCAAATCTTTTATTGGTCAATCTCGAACTCGAATAACTAATCGAGTTTACCCCAAGGTTCGAACTCGACTCGAGCTCAATTAGAATCGAACTCAAATCGATCCTAATCGAATTCAAGCCTGAACTATTTGATTAGAGCTCAATTTGATTACAACCTTACTTGGTGGTAATTATATAGGTATTTTTGGACATTTTCATGCCTCTTATTAGAGAGTTTAAACAGAAGGAGTCTTCTTGCAACTATATTGTAAAGTTCAAGGGAGGTGATTGCAATTACCAAACTTTAGGAGAGATTTCAACAATGGTCAAAAACTTCAAGGGAGGTTCTAGCAATTTACCCAATAATTAAATACCAAAATATTAGAGGTAGTGTTTTTAACCCACCGTCTAACCCGATGCTTAGACCTTGAACAATTCATGTTTAAAAACAAATGTTGACTAATGGCTCAGTGTCCCAATAGGTTGAAATAAATAGTGAACCATTAGTCCTACGAATAAGGTCACTGTTATGCCAACTCTTTTTTCTTCATTTATATTTAATTTAATCAATAATTCTTGTTTATTACACTTATTTTTTGAAATATATAATGAAAATATAATAGTAATATTTTTTACATATTTTTATATGTTTTTGTATATTTTATTTAGATGTCACAGGTTGATCCATTTAAACCATTTTGACCTCCTACCTATATTCTCTCATTCGGATAGCCCCATTTCAGATCTTTTGATCAGATCGCCAAAAGTAGAACCGAATTCAAATCACCCCTATCCTATCCGATATATATATATGTATATATGTATGTATTTATTTATAAATATATTATTTATATTGTATTTTTGTAAATTTGTTATATTATTTATTTATTTTTTAAATCACATTAGGTTGAATTAGATCCAAATATCCAATTACCTCATCAGATTCAAATTCAAATCCATATTTTATGAAATTTGATCAGATCGCATTTGAATATACCCTGATTTGAATCCAGTCCGATTCGTTTGCATATTTGCCTACCTAGATGGAAATGTGATTCCATTTCCAAGTTAATTTTTAAAACATTAATAGGAGGGCATAGTAATTGACCCAACTTTAGCCATTATACCCTCGCCAATAAACTTATTCATTAAAATCCAAACCATTCGACCATGACAATAAAAACCATCTTGTGAATTTTGATAAATACCACCTAATTGTTTAACACTTTTGTGATACTTGTTGATATGTTACATGTTTCTCATGTATTATGTCTTTATAGTCTAACCCACCAAAAACATATCAATACCTAAAAAGCTGATAATTAATCAATCAATCAATCATCATCATCGAATTGATAACCAATGAACTGGTATTCATTCAAATTTGGGTTTTTATTAGTTAAACTTCTTCATGTATCACACCCTTCTAGTATCAAAGAAATTATTGAGATGAAGTAGTTTTTCCTAGATGATTGGCCCAAGAAAGCAGGTGAATTCGGTCTAAAGGATTTATGCATTTTTCTTTGAGGTCTAACCCAACGTATATCAAGTTGTGTGATTCAGATTCCTTAGAGAGATGCCCCTTATATGCGATTGATGTTGTTCGATCTAGTTGCTCCCTGCTGGAGGTGATCTGGCTTCTAGGCAGATGACGGACAAAGTTGGATCTGTAAGAGTAGGATCAGAGAACCCGGGGTTGCTAGCCCGGTAAGGTCGCTCCGATGCTTAAGTTAGTATACTTGTTGCGATCAGAAATAGCTTAAGAATGCAGAGAGCTAGAAAGCATAGAAATCACGTGTACCTTGAACCTCCGGGGGTAGAGCCTTTATATAGTCGAGTCCTTATGGGTTTCGTGGATCAGTTCTGGGATGTTCGTCACGATAAGACCCGTTTCCGCGTTAATTGGAAGATAACGCTGCCAACCGATAAGGTTCATCACTTCTGCCCGAATCGATCGGGGAGATAATGCTAGCTGTTACGCGGCGTGATCCCATGAGGCCCGGGATCCGTTGGAGGGGTTTTCGGGACCACCACGTAGTGGCATGTCGGTATCCCTAAGTTGATATCTTTAAGTCTCGAACTGAGTTGAGTGCCGAAGTGCCTTGGCATCGAGGTGTTCTTGTTGCGATCTGCTACCGAGGCGATCTCGTCTCGAGGTGGCCTTGTCCCGAGGTCACTTTAGCTCGGGCTGGTTGGGTACCCGAGCTCGATCTGCTGCAGACTGGTCACGTTAGGCTGAGTTGTCATCTCTTGGTCAGGTTGTGTCCACGTGTCCCCTCCCCGAGCCAGGGGTCCCGACCTGGTGCAGGGAGTTCATGACAAGACAAGTGGATTTGCCTCGAGGTCCGGGCGGCTTGTCGGACGAATTGCTAGTCGGACTTGTTCGGCTATCCGGCTCAACCAGAAATAACCCAGGTCACGTCTGGTTTACACGCGGACGTCACACGATCTATAAACTCCGTGGACGTCAAAAAAACGTGCTAAACCGATTTCAACCTCACGGGTCGTGCAGTCAGTTTTCCTAGGAGCCGTTGGATTGCTTCAATCTCGACCGTTGATTTTCGGACATACCGGCTATAAATAGGGGAACCGAGACTCATTTGCTTCGCCACAAATTCACAAATCTTCGTTCTAAGGTCACGTTCAAGCTTCTTAGCTCGATTTCTCCAGTTCGGTGTCTTCTTTCAGTTCGGTCTTTCTTTGGTGAGTCTTCCCTAGCTCTCCTTTTTTGATTTGTCTTTTCTTCGCAATGTCTAGTTATAGTTTCAATAGTCTCTTAAATGAGAACGGTGATTCCGTAGGGGCCAAGGTGGGTACCTCGGCTCAGGTCATAGATCGCCCCACCGAAGAAGTTACTTCGGGTCAAGGAGCGGTCTGCGGTCCTCCCGAGGTGGAACCACCTCGGGAGGCATGAGAAGCCTCTGGTGGTCTGGCGTCCACCTCGCATCGAGGTCGGTAGCCAGATAACTTTGCTCCATCGACGATGACAGCGGACAGGCTCCAGACCTTAGTAGCTCGGTATAGGCTTCCAAGGACCCTGTATATAGCCTTCCCTTAGGTAATTTTCCCTGGGAGCACGGTCACGATGAGATCATGATCTTCGAGGAACAGCTCACATCTGGCCTTCGTCTCCCACTTCACCCCCTGATCGTAGAGGTCATAAAACTCTTCAATATCACCATAGATCAGTTACATCTGAACTCCATTCGTAACATAGTAGGAACCATCTCGTTCTTCCATGACTATAACCTACCCATTGACCTCGACATCTTCTCTTCCATCATTTCAATAAAAAAAAATTCCTCCTGTGTCTTACCTGAGCACAAGCGGATTTACTACTTATCCCCACGTCCGGGCTACAAGCTCTTATAGGAACTCCCAAACAGGGTCCTGGCCTGGAAAAGGGGCTACTTCTTAGTCCATAACACTGAGGGGTGGCCTTTCCTGACCCACTAAAGGGCGGCCATCCAAGATCACAGTGTTAGGTTGGACTTGAAGACAAGGGAAGCGCTCCAGTCCTGGGCGGAGCTCGGTCTCAAGTTCGCGAACTATGTGACCGAAGACAAGCTCGTGCAAGCCGGTCTGAGTCCTAGTAGGTTGTTACTTTTGTGCTGCCTTTGTTCTATTTTGATGTTGTTTCTGACGTTTTGCTTTTGTTACAACAACCATGAAGCTTCCTATGAACGAGCTCCTCGGAAGGATGAAGGAGAAGAAAAAGCGAGTTGTCAAAAGACCTCGCGTTGAGTCTCCGCAGGCTGCCATCCCTGAGCCCCGAGCTGTCAAAAGACCTCGCGTTGAGTCTCTGCAGGCTGCCGTCCCTGAGCCCAAGCAGCCCTTTACTGCGCAACCTCCAGTGATCGATCTGATCAAGGAGGAACCAAGAAGGGTCTCCCCGCCCCGCACGCCCGAGGAGGCAACATCTTTGGAGCCCGCCCCTGCAGCTGTCACTTCTTTGGGCAGTGAGGGGGCAGTTCGGAGCATCCTAACTCCAAAGTACAGCCTCCTCAAGAGCAAGAGCGCGGTATACGCCGAGGAGGTCACCAACTGGGCCGAGCTGTCGGTCGCTCAGCTCGGAGCTCGAGCGGCTACTCACTGTATGGTGGTAAGTTGTCTTTACTTCTTCAATTTTGTACTTTGAGAACTGTTCTTGTACTAACTGCTATTCTTCTCTTGGTAGGTGAACTCCGTTGTGCACGCTTTGACATACCAGTCCAAACTGCACCTGAAGCGAGCTATTGCAGCTGAGTCCTTGTCTCACGAAGCTCACGCCGAGCTGAATCTGGCCTGTAATGAAATCTGCCAGTTGAAGAACGATGCACGGGGTCAGAAGGAGCTGATATCATTGCTGATGTTTGAGAAGGAGGAGCTCGCGAGGGAGAAAGCGGCACTGAAGCGGGAGGTGGAGAACCTCGAGGCCCACGTCAAGGAGCGAACTGAAATACTCCACCAAGCAGTGGAGGAGGCCAAGGCCAAAGCCGCTGAGGAATACAAGACCTCAGAGAAGTTCTACGGAGAGTTGATCGAGGTGGGGACGGAAGGCTACCGTAAGGGGTTTAAGCTTAGGAGGTGGCTGACCCGACGTGAATTTTCGCAGCTCGATCTAAGCGCCATCACCACTTCAAGGGTCATAGATGAGATGGTTGTCAAAGCTGCCGAAGATCCGGACTCCGAGGCGGAAAGTGACAGCAAGCTATTCATCGACATCAAAGAGACCGATGCTGACAAGAGGGTGAACCTTCCTGCTGAAGCCTCGGGCAAGG